TCGCACCTTGGGGCTTATTTTTCAGGCTATGTGGAAAATAGGGTTATAATAATGGAAACAGGTTTTGTAATCTTAGTTGGCATGACCAGCACCTAAAGTAATAAAATTTCTCCCCTTTTTCTGAAGCTTTCGGTATAATTTGAAGAATGCAGAAAAGTATTTTGTAGGACAGAGTGCTCTTAGAGCAGGGATAGCTTGTAATTTCTCCAATTACACTGGGGAAGTAATTGGAGATAGAGTAGTGACAGCTTGTGACTAATGGCTATTACTTACACTAAGTGTATTGTTGTCCCACAGTCCTAATTTGCATATGCAATCATCATAGTATCTGAGCAGCTTGAACACAAATGGATTTATCCTTGTGACACCTCTGCAGCAGGGAAGTATTATCCCATTTTACAGATGGGGAAACTTGAGGCACAGTGTCTATGCAAGGGTAGAATCTGGACTTTTGGGGATCTCCTGAACCCCATCCCAGTGCCTACCCAAAAGTCCATCCTTCCTATACAGCTGCTTTCTCACAGCCTCCACAAGAAATTGACTACTTAGGTGACCACTGCAGTGAAAAGGTTTGGTTGAGAAAAGAAAATATTGGCTGTGAAATTGCAGGATTAAAGGGAAATACTTTCCAGTGTAGATGTGGTGTTTGATACAGAACTAATCGTATAGATGAGGGCACATGTCAAATATTTTGGAGGATGAGAGGTGCATTTTTTTAATTAAACGGGAGACTTTTTTGCAACTTTTTTTAAACTGTAGCTGAAAAATTTTGCTCAAACTTAAAACTAATACTGCCATAATGCAGAAACCACCCTCTGAAAACCTGAGTCCAAGAAATTAGTGCTTTAGACAGGCAACTAAAAATGAGTCTAGAATGTGGGTTGTGCCCACAAAAGCTCATGATACTATCTACATTTTTTTAGTCTCTAAGGTGCTGACAGGCCAGGTGCCAGCTCTTGCTCAGGCTTGTAGCATTAGCTAATCACTCACGAACTCCTCACTGGAGACTAGGCCACTTCACTCGTGCTTAGTGTTACTCGATAGGTGTTAATTTTAAGAATATATTTAGCGTTTAGACTTTCTTTCAGGCACCAACTTACGGTCATTCTGTAGTCTTACTCATAATGACAGTATTCCATGCTATAAGAAACGATGTCAGTTTTGCATTCTAAATCTGAAAGTTTGCTCTGAATTTGTAAACTCAGACGGGAAGTGGAGGGGAATTTTTTTTTTTTCCACCACCTATCCAGAAGAACTAGAAAAATCAGAAGGGCCACTACAACTCTGTTGCTCTTAGGATTTAGATTGCAGCTCATTTGAGTGTATTCACTTGCTTCAACTTGTAAAGATTGACTAGGAAAAATAAATGAGTTGTACTTAGCTTATTACAAGTTTGGCTACAGGTATTGTCTTTGGTGTAAGAGCTTGAGTACCAATAGAACTGGAATAAGCGTGTGGTCTCTGGGGACAGGAAGCTACCTGAATTTGGTGGGATTCTCTATTTTTATGCATTTATTTTGTGTAAGTGATCAATGGTCTCTAAGTCTAATTTGCCTGGATGATGAAATAGACTGGAGAGTCTTAGGCAGCAGTTCTCAAACTGTGGATTGGGACCCCATTTTAATGGTCACAAGGGCTGGCTTAGACTTGCTGGAGCCTGAAGCTAAAGCCCAGGAACTTGTGCCCTGGACAGTGGGTATAAGATTATAGGCTCCTGCCTGGATCCAAAGCCCTTTGGCTTTGCGCGCGCGCACACACACACACACACACACACAGAGCAGTGGGAGCCGTGGCTCCTCCACACATGGTGGCAAGATTTGGGTGGATTCAGTCCCCCTTGGGCTGGTATAGTATTTTTTGTTGTCAGAAGGGAGGTTGCGGTGCAATGACTTTTGAGAGCCACTGGTAAGGGGATTGTCTTTGACATTCTGCTAAGACTGTTAAGAGTGATCCAGGAGTTCCCATTTGTTACTGGCCTGGTGAAATCTAATTCTAGAACATACGACAAGTTTGGGGTGCCTGCCCACTTTAAAAAAACAAAAAAAACAAAAACAAACACAGTTCACCCTGAGGCTGATACTCATGGTTGTGAGTCACGCCAGCCAGTGACACACAACAATATCTGTCTAGAGATCAATTCACTTAGTCTGGCAGGCGTGTACACTTCAGGTTACAAAATTAACGTCTGCTGCATGGGTACCATAACCTCAGTGCTTCGCTGTTACCCATCAGGCATTTACTCTGCCAGCAATAAACCTAGGTCTCCGGGAGTACACCAACATCACATACCTCTTCTATTAGCAAAACCAACCTAAGACTTCCCTTGTATTTATTAGAAAACTTGCCCAGATTGTAACTCGGCCAATACTAACCAGATAAAAAAAAAACCCACTTGTGAACCCACCTGAACACCAAAAGGCAGTCTTCGAAACTCGAATATAAAGCAGTGGGGACACAGTTCCATTGGCTGCTTGGTATTAAGCATTTACCTTCACACCCACATAGTGGTTATTTAAATTGCAGATCCACTCTAATTGCCAATCACACACACCCAAGGCCCACACTTCCGGGCAAGGTTGGCTTAAGGTACGCAATTCCAGCTATATGAAGTCAACGTACCTTAAGCCGAGTGCTGGCATCATTCTTGCAGCGGGAGGTCAATGGGAGATACGTTCCCATTGACTTTCCTTACTCCTTGCAAGTTCAGGAGTACCAGAACTGATGGGGGAGGGAGGGGGGCGCCCTCAGCATTCAATTTAGAAAGTCTTTATTAGACTCACTAAATCAAATGCTGGAAGATCGCCCACCGCAACATCGACCTTCCCACAAGTGGAGATGTGGCGCTAGTGCTTTTCATCTATAGACTTCAGTGTTCTGCAATAGATCGCCAGCATTGCCTCCATTTTAATGACTAGAGCATCAAGGCAAAGATTCTGCCTCACCATGATTTTACCCACTGATATGTCTGCACTAGGGCCAACTCTTGTCAAACACTTCTTTACCCCAGCACAGTTTGATTTACATCAGCATAGCTTATGCTGGTTTGGTACAAGTTACACTTTATTGGCGTAAATTGTTTTTCCTCCAGGGCTTTGCGCAGGTAGCGTTGTGCTTGTCTGGCTTGTAGCAGGCCATGGAATAAGCTAAAAACAGAGGGAAAATGGAAGTTGTATCTTGACACTCTACCTATTGGTAGCCAACAGCTGCTACATGTTCTCGTATTTACACACTGTATCAGAAAAGTGAAATCTTGAAAAGGAATCACTTACTTGCCTCTCATTGATATGAGAACAGGTGCTTGTACATACATTCTCCAAACCCAGTGGGAAATGTCCTCCTACACCCGTTGTTTCAAAACAAACTTCCTTTTGAGTCACTGTTTGTCATCCTACTGGGGGGGGGGAGGGTGAAGAGGCTGCTTCCATGTGGTAAAAAGTGAGGAGGGTTTGTGCTTTCCTGCTCTGTAGCAACGTTATCTGGATCAGATTAGTTGAGCTGTGAATCAGGGAAGACTAAGTGACTTCTTGGATCATCCAGTCTGTTTCTCAACTCCTGCAGGATTGTTTCCTGCTGTTCAAAAGCTGCCTACCTGGTTCCTCTACTGTCAGGAAACATTTCCTGACATTTATTTTAAATTTCCTTATTTCTTTAAAAAATCACTATCAAACTCCTTTTCGTCCTTAGTGTGTTTTTGTAAATATTACAATATTATACTAACTGTGTGATTGATTGAAATATAATTGGTTACATGGTTAAACGCTCCTGGAGGCTGCTGGCCCCAAGTTTAACCAGTTAACTGTAAGCTAATATTTATCAGTTAACTGGTTAAACTCTTACATCTCTAGTATTAACAATATGTAGATAGTTGGCTTATCATGGATATCTGTCTCTGCACATCACTGTATTCCTCTTGTCCCCCAACTTGATACAGTGACCAAAATGCCTATTTTGAAAGCCCAGTACGACTCACGCAAAAGGAGCAGGTACTTAACTTTTCTGAGAATCGGGCATTTAAGTCTCTCACATTGGACACTCCGCCACTGAACATTTGTGAAAATATAACCCTATACTCTTTAATATCCATTCTCATCCAGAACAACTGAGGTCTGTATATTCTCTATACGTGCTGCTAAAATTGGATATTACAGCAGCAGTGATCTCATCTTTTGTTTCTAATTATTTTGTAATTCTATCAAAGCAAAGACTTTCCAGTCAAGACTTCTGCTAGGTCAACCCATAGTGCCTAATTATACCCATTGTGCTTAATATAGCTCTTTAGAATCTCTTCCTCTCTGTATTTCATAGTTTATTAAAGTTGGGCATTTCTGAATGAAACAGTAACCATTAAGATTGAGCTTTTTTTCCTTTAAAATTAGGTGCTACATTTTCATGGTTAGTCAGTTTCTGCAAAACCCTAAACAATGAGCATATGTTGTCTTAAATATAAGACTCTTATTTTCTAATTACAGGATGATGAAAGTCTGCAATACCTAACCCATGAGGAGAAGGATGTTCTCCTATTTCTTGAAGAAACCATTGATGCTTTCGAAGATGACTTGGAAGAACAGGTCCTCCACGACAGCGGCATCCACTGTCATTCCCCAAGATCAATGGAAGAAAATGCTTCCAGCCATTCAGAGTCTGAAGATATCATTGACTTGGTGCAAGCAACCCCGGAAAGCAGCGATCCAGAGTGCACTGCAAACAGAGAAATAGCAGCAGGTAAAGTGTGACTGCTTCTAGTGTAAGTACATAGAAGAAAATCTGTTGTTACTCAAAATACAGCACCTCTAAATCTCTTCAGACCTGAAATACCTCTTGTTCTGAATTTGTTCGATCTTACCTTCTAAAAAAAAATTTTCACCATGCAAAAATGTCCCCTACAACAGAGAGGTATCTCTGTACCTCCAGAAGTGACAGAAAGAGTAGGGAATGTGGGGTCATATTCCCCCTCCCATTCTCTGATTGCTTAGTTCCTGAGTGTGGCAAGCCCTGCTGGACAGCTGAATTAGTCTTGCTTTGGTCTCTCCCTGCCCAGCCTAACAGCTGGAAGCTGCAGGGAGGGTCAACTGCTTTCTGGAAGGTGGTGCGGAGGAGAGGTAATGTTTTGGGGAGGATGTCTTGAACTGGTCTTGGGTTGTGCCTCCCTACTACAACCTACTTTGGTTTATCTCTGATAACCACCCACATGGCTTGCTAGTTCAATGTTACAAATTTCCTCCACTGAGTTATGCATATGGTGCCGAAATAAGACTATTATTCCTCTCTGCCCTCCCCCAATACTCCAGAGCCCTGACAAAATAAGTGTCGTGAAAGTGTTCCAGTGAGCAACAGTAGTGAAATGTGTAACAATGACAGTAACAAGTACGCTTGTTCGTGCACCTATTCCTTGATCCACCCCAGGCCACCTTCTGTGGACAGTCTACTGGTGAGTTGATGATAGTGGTGCCCTAGTGAGGGTTAGAGGAATGTGGCTTCACTGACCAAACCCCACCATGTGGTCGGTGTTACCTGTGCAGCATGGCCTCCTAAACCCGGACAGTTTCCCCAGACTCTCTGCAGAAGAGGAGAACTTGCCCATTAGCAAGTGTGCTGCTTGGGTCTTAAAGATATTTCTTTCCCCTTTGGGCACAGTAACACTGCACATACAGCTGGCAGACATGAGACCAACAGATTAGCAGAAGGAAGGACTGTATCAAACCAAGGTGGGCAAAATCGGCCCAGGGGCCGGAACCGGCCCACCAAGCATTTCTCTCTTGCCCACCCCCCCTAACCCCACAGCTGACGAGCAGAGGTGCATAAGTGTGTTCAGCTGCCCTTCCCCTGCCTTGCTCCATCCTACAGCTGAGTTGCTTCCAGGATTTTCCTGCGAGCTGTGCAGAGTGGTGGGGGGAGGAGAGTGCTGAAGTCAGGGTGTCCCCTTGCTCCTGTACCCCATCTCTGCAGGGCAGGGGTTGGGAAGTGGAAAAACACATTGGAGCTGCTCCTGTCTGAAGCATAGATGGTAAACGAGTGCAGAACAGGGGAGAGGGGAGACGACAGAGTGTGGCTTCTCTCAGAAACTTACCCAGCAGCAGCCAGCGTGCACACACTGTGTCTGTGTCTGTCACACACACACACACACACCAGTCTGTGCTCCACTGTCTCTGTACCCCACACACTCCATCTGGGTCATAGTCTGCCTCTTCCTCACTTACACACTCTGTATCTCTCTATAACACCTCACCCTTTCCAAGGGACTGTAGCCAGCCCGTGACCATGTGCCAAAATTCGTGGAGTGGCCCCCTGAGAATTTATTGCCCACCCTTGTATCAAACCCATCTCAGTGTCTAAGGTAGTGAGGGGCAGCCTAGGCTAGTGAGTTGGTTGCATGAGTGGCCCTCCTTCTAGGGTTGCCACATGGTTTAACCAAAAATACCAAACATCCCCCCCGCCACCCAAAAAACAGGGAAAAATTCTGTTGGGGTGGAGGGGGAAGGACCCCGAGAGTTAAGCAAAAAAAAAAGCATTAAAACAAGATGGCCCCTTTAAGGGCATGCAGAGTCAGAATAGGGATAGGAAGCGGCGAGGTTGAGCACTAAGACCCAGGGAAGTCATTGCTTCCCCTTGCTTCAGGTCTTTAGGCTTTTTGCCAGTGGCCATCTTGTTTTGTTAATCCAGCCAGAAGGCAGCTTCCCTGCGGAACCAGGTAAGTGGCTGAGTGGGGGGCTGGGCCCAGTTGCTGAGTGTGTCATAGGGTTGTCAGGTGCCCGGTATTTTCGCCTCCTTGCAGGGGAAAAAAAAACCCAGAAAATACTGGACATTTTAGGTGTCAGGTATTTTCTGAATTGTTTTACCGGACAGGAGGAAAAATACCGGATTGTCCAGGTCAATACCAGATACCTGGCAACTCTACCTCCTTCATCTCAGTGCGCCGCAAAGTTCTCGTAACCAAGACAGTCTCCCCGAGCTAGGATTGTTCTGCTACCTGCGCTTGCGTCCCTAGCATTTGCGGGATGTGCCAATCAAACTGCAGCAGTGCTTTGATTGGATGCAGAGAGAACATGTGTGGCTCTCACAATTTCACACCATTCGTTTAAGTGCTTGTCACTTTTGCAATATTGGTAGGAAAAAACCTTCTAATGGTGGAAACCAGTGGAATCTGTCAAACCTGGGGATAGGCAATGGTAAACAAAATGTCTTATGGGCCACCCATAGAATCCCGATGGGCAGCAAATTGCCCACCACTGGTCTATGGAAAGACATTAGTTTGTTGACTGAAGACATTAAGCTACTCACATTCCAACTTCTTGTTCAAGGAAAAGTTGGGGCAGGGGAAGTTGGGGCAGTAGAGGCCAATACTATTGAAAGGAAGCCATGAGTTCTACTCTGTGCAAGGACCTAATGAGATTCCATTTGTTTTTTTTAAGTGTCAGAACCTGCCGGGAGAGTGGATGATCCTAAGCCAGAGGGTAGCGAGCTGCCGGAGAAGAGTCTATCTCCCGATGCTCCCACAACCCATGCGTCAGCCACTCCGTTGACGAGTAATGAGCAAGTTCTTGCTCCATGCCAACTGCAGCACCCCAGTCTTCATCGTTCCATCCCCACTCCATTTGTCCTGGCCCAGAAAGTGTCTGAAAACCAAAATACAACCAGGACATGCTGCCAGAGGGTAGCGAGCTGCCGGAGAAGAGTCTATCTCCCGATGCTCCCACAACCCATGCGTCAGCCACTCCGTTGACGAGTAATGAGCAAGTTCTTGCTCCATGCCAACTGCAGCACCCCAGTCTTCATCGTTCCATCCCCACTCCATTTGTCCTGGCCCAGAAAGTGTCTGAAAACCAAAATACAACCAGGACATGCTCTTCCCCTAAGCACCCTCCGCTGCCAGCAACCAAATCCTACCGGTTTCCAAGTAATATCAACATAACCAATGCAGCTGGGAAAGATTTCAGCCGAACGATCTCTAAGGCAGCAGTCAATGTGCAGGAGCGCAAGGCTCAAGTGCTGGCCAGCATGAATGGAGCAGCCTTTGAGACCGCTGAAACAGAAGAGCGGGTGCAGAAGAATGAGTTCTTGACTCGCAGTAGAAGCTCCTCCTTAAGAGACTTAACTTCTGAGCAAATACGCTACGAGGCTCTCACGAAACTAGGCCTGGTGAAGGAAAAGCCACGTCTAATCCAACAATATCCTGCCCCAAACACACAGAAGATACAAGACTTGCAGGCAGAACAGGAAGAGGCAGTTCCTAATGGGTATCAAAATATCCACACGCTATTAAAATGTAATCCTAGCCCTTTCCTTCCTATGGGCAAGACCGTGATGATCAAACCAGACATGGCTATCAGCAGTGACAAGGTTGTTTGGCAGAATGTTGCCAAAAGCTTTTCTGACCATGGGCAGTCCACTTTAAATCTGGAGATGAGAAAGAGGTCATGCTCGCTACCTAGGCCTTCAGGATTTCGATCCCAGGGGATAACAGTACAATTTTCCGGCCGAGGCTCAACAGAAGAAGCCAGGAAAGAGGCTCTTCGGAAACTTGGGCTGCTGAAAGAGACTATGTGAAAATCTGAGGGGACCATCCTGTTACCTGTGGGGAGGGAGCGAATGGATTGTCCTTGTGCTGGAAGAGTCAAAACCAAATTGGGTTTAAAAGGAAGCCGGGTGAACAAAGGGCAGTTCTCTCTGCTGCTTCAACCCAAGAAGGTTCTCCATACTGTACAATTGCAGGGATTTACTGTCTTCACATTAGAGAGACTGCAGGGGGTTCAGCACTACATCCCACCAAGAAACCCTGTCTAGTGGTGACTAGAAAGAAAAGTCTTCACAAAAGTCCTGGCTGTAGCAGAGGGCATTGTGTTCATGAAGTGTTCTGTGCAGTATTTTTTTAAAAATTGTATGTAGCTGGCAAATGGAGGATTTTCCTTATGCTGTACCATTCTGAAGCCAAAAAATAGACAGATCCCTGCATGCATATCTATATTTTGGCGGGGGCATGTCAAGATCCATTAAAACTCAAGTCTTCAACCTATGTGATAAAATTCCATGATCTTTCTTTCCTATCCTATTGTATTACCCTGCTCTGCCCTCGTCGAGATAGAACAGTTGATGGAATCTTCCTTTTCATCACTCTGTCCAAAATCTCAACTCAAGTACGTATCTGACTTGTACCTCGCTACAGAGGGTGGTTTTCTGTTTGACCTTCTCCTGGACATAGAGGTCCAGGCTCGGAGTGGGTAACCGCATTGTTCTGCCACTTTATTTGAAGGCTGTCTCCTCCTCAACAGTTGCCTCTTGAACATCTAGCAACCGGGTGTACAGTGAAAGGCACCTGCTAGCGCTCAAGGATACATAAATATATGTCATGTCTCACTCACAACCAAAGAGTAACATGACAATCAGGAAACTAAACCTTTATATATAAGAAATGACTACCAGAGAAGCCATAGGAATCAAGTTAATTTTGTGCCGGAAGTGAGCCTTTTGTTTAATGTCTCTCTTTAAACAAGTGTTCAGTGGAGGAAACCTTATTGTTCTGAAATAATTGTTCTAGCCCACTAAGCGACTGTGACTCAGCACTGTTACTGTTATTAACTCTTTTTTCCCCTTAGTCTATCGTATGTCTGTAGCGCTTTGAGAGCCTTAATAATTCCCAATTCTTTGCAAAATCATCCTGTCCTACTAATGTGCCACCAAAATTATAACCAGAATCCTTGTACAGTGAGCAATTAAGGGAGATTGTATTTATGCACACTTGTAGATGTCAGAAATTCTATCCAATTCCCACTTTCCTGTGCCCAGTAGGCAGAGTTAAAAGGTAATGAGAACATTTTATTTTTACATGTTAGAAGGGATTTGTCTCATATTGCAGAGTTACTCTTTCTAAGCAAAATAATTCATTTTCTTCCATATGTATTCCAAAATATTTTAAGAATAGAAGCTAGTTTTGAATCTAATGACAAAGTATCTGAACCTATTTACTCATCTTTATTTTTTGTAACTTGTAAAAGGTCCCAAACTTGTAATTTTGCCTAAAGGAGAAAACAAGCGCTCGCGCTCTCTCTCTCTCTCTCTCTGTTTTGTTTTTGTTTTTGGTTTGTTTTTGGTTTTTGGTAGCCTGTAGCAATTTTTTTTCCTGTTTTGTTTTTGGTTTTGGTTTGGTTTTGTTTTTTTGGTAGCCTGTAGCAATTTTTTTTCTTTTAAATGACAGAGTTATAAATCTCAGAAAACAAGAGGTGTGGTTACAATAGGAACTAACACACCCTCTATTATAAAAGTTCTGACAACTGTGATAAATGTTTCTGTATTTCCTTGATGTAAAGTGTTGCTTACAACTTGCCGAGCAGAATTTATTAATGAAGTTTTTGCGAAAAAATTTGTTCATAATCGTTTACCTGCCTCATAAGTTATAAAATCTTTTTTTAAAATAGTATTTTATCCTTTTTTATAATTGATCACATATGTTATGGAATCTGTCTGGTTTTATTATTTAAATGAGGGATTATTTTTTCAGACTTTTAATGCTTTGATTTAAAAGATCATGTTCCCTACTATAACAGAACTTGTATGTTGGTAACTTTGAAATAGTGACCATTTCGCAAGCAGGCAAAGCACTCAAGCAGCTGCTGAGATCAATACATGATTACACCCCCTGAAACATGAGGCTACTTGCATGCTGAACTTTTCCTGGATCTGAGAATCTAGCCCCATTTAAGGGCTGTGTTTAACAAGTGCTTGGGATATAAGTACCTCAGTGTTTTCCTGAATATGGGTCTAAGTGAGGATAATAACATATCGCTAATTTGTTAAACATATAATCTTAACAAGTTTGTATTTCATACTCTTATTTTTCTACAGACAAATCAAATTTAAGTGTTCCATGGCTTTTATGTATCCAACTTTTGAATCCTAGTAAAGAAACACTATAAATGCCAAACCTATATAACCCATCTTCACATTTTTTCTCCACAGTAACAAGTATTGATTTGCTCTTCAATTTTTTTTGCAGGTGAGATCATCCTCTTGATTTAAAAACAAACACTGTTTTACCCAAGTATTTCATTTGAGTAAAACTGAATTTTTCAATATATTAGTAATAGCATAACATTTAGAAATGGATAAGGGTTTTAATATCTGTTAGGTGTAAGATTGCAAAATCTTTAATATGACCTTATCCTTTCATTCTTCAGTTAGGGTATGTCTAGACTGTGGCTCCATGTAGTCGACAGAGCCATGTAGATGAGGTTTCTAGACATAGGGAAACGAAGTGGTGATTTAAATAATCACCGCTTCATTTACATAAAAATGGCTGCCGCGCTGTGCCAGTCAGCTGTTTGGCGGCACATCGCAGTAGTCTTGTCGACCGTGGACTGACCAGGGAAGCCCTTGTCGACTGCCCCGTTATGCCTTGTGGAATGAGGTTTACTGGGGCAGTTTACCGGGGCTTCCCTTGGCGACCGCAGAGCATCCAGACTACTGCACTGTGCCACCAAACAGCTGATCGGCACAGCGTGGCAGCCATTTTGATGTAAATGAAGTGGCAATTAATTAAACCACCACTTCATTTCCCTTTTTAGAGTACACTAACTTACATGGCTCTGTCGACGGAGCCATGTAGTCTAGACATACCCTTAGGGTTGAATCCTTATTTGGTGGGAACTGGCATAATTCTAAAGATACTCCAGCTGAGGGTGTAGGCCAGTGTATTTATTTTGATGTACATGTTATCCCATTGGCAAAACCTTCTAGTGTGCCTGAAACTGTAGAAAGTAAAGCCACGTATATATGTGAAATTATTCTTGCTGCTGATGAAAAAGTTTGCATTAATATACAGACTATATTGTGTATCATGGTACTGTGTATGCAAATGTAGAGGGTTCTGTTTTTAAGGCGGTAATTTGTCTTTTATAAATATCTGCTCTGAAAAATGAATCAGCTGATTAAACTAACTGGGATAAAACCCTGCAACCGTAATGGATGGAAAGTGAAGATTCTTTTTCTTTTTTCCTCAAAATTTTCTTTATCGTCCAGTAGCACCTGTCTCCTTTTCCTTTCTTTTTAAGATGAAACGACTGAGGTTGTCTTTACCCTGCAGGACCTAACAGTGGGCATCCAAGACTAATGGGTGAGCCGCATGATTGTCCCTCCTTTGTCTCAGTTGGCCATGAGTAAAATCCAGTGGTGAGCAACCTGAGGCCTGTGGCACATTGGAGTTCCACCTGTGGTCTGTGCACCCCTTCTCTGCTCCCTTCCCCCAAGCCACTGGGGCCCTGCACTTACCTACTCCCCTCCCTTCCTCCCTCCCAGCATTTTTGGAGCACCACGAATCGGCTGATTTGTGATCCACCTCTGCTCCTTCCTGTCAGTCCCCGTAATACACGAGGTTCGAAGGGATGCTGGAAAGGATGAGACCACAACTGGGGTTTTTAAAAAGCACAAACTGATTTTATTTTGATGGCGCCAGACAATCATCAGAACAAAAATTAAACAGATTGCCAGACAACACAAAACAATTCCCTGAGGCTTTTCTAAATCACAATAATTCCCAATAACTGCCCAGGGGTTAGGAACAGTTGAATTAACACTGGTATTGTTCATAGTGCTGATTATTTACACAACTTTATACAAGGAAACAGTAAAAAACCTAAACCACAACTATTTATAAACTAACTTAGTAACTTTTTAGCCACTGTCACTTGACAAGCAATAAGGACAACTAAGAAATCAATTAGGATAGGGATGATGGCGGGGGAGGGAGGGTTATACCAGTTCTGGAGACAGCAGGAACACAAGTACCGGTCACACGCTCATAAACTGTCTCCACTCGGGTCGACCAACTCGGAGTACGCTCAGTAAGACTCAAGAGCGGGGGGTGCAAGGCGTCTGGGTGATCAGGCTAGGCGTTCACTCGATGCGAATCCCCAGTGAGAGAGGGGCTGCCTGCCTGTTTTATTGCCTGTGAACTTATCACCCCATAGGTTGGTTTTTGCTGCAGTGGGTGGAGTAGCAGGCCTGAGCACAAGTCAGCCCATTGGCTGATCTTTCACTGCAATGGGTGGAGCGAGCAGGGGAAGATCATTAATTTACATGCCCTTATATGGAAAACACTCCACCTCACAGACAGAGCTCCCCTATCCCAGCCTTAGAGGTATTACAGGCTATGGCTCCCCGCGACGGGCAGCCATTCTTGTAGTTCTGACTCGGACACTTCCCAGATCTTGAATTCCACCAATTCACAGGTCCCCAAAAGTGCTGGGGTGAGGAGTAAGTGAGTGTGGGATTCCAATGCCCCAACATGCAAGAGGTGCGTGGGGGAGGGGGCAGAGAAGGGATGTGCAGTCTGTAAGCCACACATCACAACTGCAGCTCAGCCACTATGTCGCCTGTGCTGGAGATGCATCCTAGAGCCAGGGAGGAGGTTTCTGTATCATTCTAGTTAATCCACCTCTCCATATGGTCATAGCTAGATTTGTCAGAATTTTTTTTTCTGTGGACTTAGCTGCAACTACTCCCCAGGATAAAGGAGCGAGGCTGATTTAAATATCAAGTGTAAACCAGGCTTTAAACACCTGACATCCTGAATTAGCGCTCCCTTCTCTCAACTCAGTTGTAAAGAAAACAATGCTGTGCAATAAGAATGATCTCCTTATGAAACGAGGACTAATTTAGAGCCCTGCAAATTCACAGAGATCCACGAATACTGGCATCTGTGGATGTGAATGGCCGTAGCTTTCTTTTGCGGCTATGGATACAAGATGTAAATTTTGTATCTAGAATCCAGCAAATTTGCAGATATCCACTTTATAGCTGTGGGTGTCCCCACCCATGGATGCAGATACAGATGTGGTTACAAACGTTGCATCTTTGCTCTTGGGGTAATATCCTTTGGGCTAGACCACAGCCTTTATGTACAGTAATAAGTAAGCAGAAGCCATTGTCTTTCCCCACCACCTGGCTCTTGTAGTAACTTCCTAAAGCCAAGAAACAGAGGGATAGCCAAAGACTGTGAATAGCTAGCCAACTACAAAAGTGGTTTCTCCTCTCTTGGTGTTCACACCTCCACATCCTGCCTGACTGAATTGACGTCATTTCTGGCCTTCCTCTTGAGTGGTACTCCTTTCTTTTCATGTGCCTGTATATTTATTCCTCTGGAATTTCCACTATGTGCATCTGACGAAGTGGGTCTTTGCCCACGAAAGCTTATGCTCCAATAAATGTTAGTCTATAAGCTGCCCTAGGACTTCTTGTTGGTCCTAAAGACAGGCATTAGTTCTGTTCCCTGTATAAACTCAATTTGGGTGCCTAAAGCAAGGCTCCCCTAACGACAGGCATTAGTGCTGTTCCCTGTATAAACTCAATTTGGGTGCCTAAAGCGAGGCTCCTGACTCCCTGTTTAAATGCCTAAGCCAGTTAAGTCTCATTTACACCGGTGCCATGCATCTGCGACTCCCAGCAAAGCTTGTGGGAGCTGCTGGTTTACAGTATGACTGAAAATCAGGTCACTTATTTGGGCACTTCAGTCTATGCAAGTGGCTCTGCATTTATTTTGCCCTTGACACTTTAATTTGTGAGAGTATAGGGACCTATTGGAAACCCAAGTTTTGTGCCAAGGGACTGTTAAAGCAGCTGGTCCTTAAGGTGTGTCTACTCTAGAAACACAACAGTGGCACAGCTGTGCTGCTGTACTAAAAGCCCTCACTGTAGTGCTGGAAGGAGTTCATTGGGCACTGTAGTGAATCCCCCTCTGAGAGGCAGAAGCTAGGTGGACAAGATTCTTCTTCCATCCACTGAGTACAGTCCATGAGGGGTCTTAGTTTGACTTAACTATGGGCAGGTCTACTCTAGGGGAACAAGCTGATTGAAGCTACACAATTTTAGTTGCGTTAGTAGCATAACTAAGTGATCTACTTAGACCTACTTCTTGCAAGGTCCACAACACATTTGATCAACAGAAGAAACTCTCCCATTAACTTGCCTTATTCATCTCATTCTGGTGAAGTACCAGGGTCGACAAGACAGTGATCAGTGGTTGATTGAGTGGGTCTTTATTAGACCCACTAAATTGACCCCCCTCATGGATTGATCACCATAGCATCAACCTAGCACATGGTGGAAAAACACCCCCATGTAGCGAAT